TGTGTGTGTGTGTGTGTGTGTGTGTGTGTGTGTGTGTGTGTGTGTGTTGTGTGATCACAGGACTTGGGATGCATACAAGAAACTGTCAAAATAAAAATGCATCACATAAGAAGTCGACTTCCCAATGCATTGCTCCCTTTATGTAATACTGTAGACAATGCAGCTGCTTACTCTGCTGGATGGGAAACAGATCAGTGGCCGGCTGAGGTGGGAGGGGTGGGAAAGAGCAAGGTTGCAGGGAGTGGAAGGTGGAAGGACAAGAGAAGATCGAGAAAGGAAAGAAGACAACAAAAACCAAAGGGCTGAAGGTAACTTTGAAAATGCTACAGGTTAAGACTGTTGGGTGTAGAAGCAATTTCTATTTTAGACTGTGTGACTTGTTTTGTGTCAGCCAGATGGTTAAACATATATAAATATATGTGTCCTGTAAGTTAATAAAGAGAATAGCTGTCATAAACAAAAGATGGCATGAATGAGTAATTCCTAAATGAAACTAGGAGACTGACAAATGTGTTAAATTGCAAAACAATAAAATAAGAATGTACTTATAATGTTTCTTTGTATCTTACACCATTGCGCACACAGTTACAGTGGTAAATGTAAAAACTATTGGTTACAACTCACGTAGATACTAATTTTGAGATGAGACCCTTTCTCTCATTTAGTTCTGGTGGGTATATAAGAGGGACATAATTTTTCTGGGGGAAAAGTTGATAATATATAGTAAAACCCCAAATAGTATGAAGCTTTGAAACAATAAATCTACCATTAGAAATTGATCCTATGTAAACAAGGGTCACTTGAGGTTAAGGAAAAAAATCATTATATTTATTTTTTAAAATAATAGTGGGAAGACTAAAAAGAGCACAAAATCCATCAGAGACTTAATTTAATAAGACAAAGCATCATCTGCCGATACATCCATGAAAAATGAAATTGTAGAAAAGCTTCAGAGTCACAGAAAGATGCTTGTTGGATATTGCAAAGTGTTTAAAACCATAAAACCAGTGTGCAGAATATATATAACTTTAGATAAAATATATAAAGGCTCTACACTGATGTTTAAGAGAAAAAGATTAGCACTGATTACCTCAGTGTTGAGTTGTTAGATTTTTCTTTCTTCTTTTTGATTTGATTTCTACTTATCCTACAAGGGATCTCCTCTACTATGATAATTAAGACTCCAGCAAATGCTATTTGAGAACAATCAGAGATCCTACTCTATAAATGAATACAATGGACTTTGGTAGTCCTTCTGAAACCATTTCTAAGTTATAAAACAGTTGAGATGCCTTGGGAAGGCCTCTCTGAAAATGGAGCCTGTAGGGTACTGCTTTAGGACTGGGCCAAAGGTGGCGGTGGGCACAGGACTGGTTCTGCCACCTAGAGAAGCTGGCATACCCTTACCTGCAGGAAGTACAACTACCATCATGCTGCAAAGAAGTAGTGCTTGTGTTGCCCAGGGCGATGGACCAGGAGGCCGAATCCTCCGAGTAGCACAGACTCCAGGGCCAGTTCCCACACCTCACCCACAGTCAAGAGTGAAGAGCAACATTTACTCGAGTCCTAAATTCCCACTTTACACTCATGGAAAGTGAGGCTAATAGGACCGACCCAGGTGCTATTCCATCAGCTGCATCTGGGGCCTGAAGTGAAATCAAAGCCACTGGGCCATATAACTACATCGGCCATTTCTGGAAATAGATTCCTGTGGAATCTCAACACTCAAGTCTCAGTGAGTAACAGCTAGCTCTGAGACTTGGCTTTTCCTTCTCCCCTTCCTCTAGGGAAACAGGAGAATTAAAGTCCAGGAACCACTGCTCCTGTGCCACAGAACCACGTGGTACCACGGTACATGATTAGGTTATAGGCCGTTCCATACACCAAGAACTACTTGAGTCTAACCACTTGCTGGCTACAGTTGGGTTGTCAAACGGCTTTCATCCACAGAATCAAGTGGGTCAGGCTTGGATATTCATGAGTTCCAAGGCAGTGCCTGTACTGAGTGACAAAAGGCACCATAATCAGGGATGCTTTGGTGTGGGAGGAGGCCTTAATAGCATGTTACCCTTGAAATAAGATCAGTCATTCAGAGTACTTCTTGAATATTTCTTTTACTACATCATACTCTTGTAAACAAAAGCTAGGAGCTGGGCAGGTGGCTCAGTGGTCAATCATGATCACCTCTCTTGAAGAACATTTGAGTTTGATTCTAAGCATCCATGGCTAGATTACAGCTTTCTGTACTTCTAGTTCCAAGGGCTCTGGCCACACTCATGCGCATATACAAACAACCACACACACAATACAAAAATTAAAAATCTCTATTCATCTTCACACCCTATCACAGCTCAGAGTTCAAGATGCTCCTCAGTTTGCTCCTTACTGTTTTATTTTCTTAGGAATGCAGCACGAAACCGCCTTCCTGGACTGTTTCTTATAACAGAGGGCCCAGGCAGAGGAGCCAGGGTCGGAAACCTGTCCAATTGGGAACAAATGGATGAACAAATAGCAGGGGAAGCTCGAGATGGACAGAGGCCATCATGATTGTTGAGGTGAACTCTGGCTGAGCTTTGCTTATCTTGAGGATTCTATTCCAGTCTATCTGCTCATCATCAGCCTCAAAACAAAGAAGCTGTATGGTTTTTATAGAAGGATCCCTAATAAATACCTTGCACATTTTTCCCCCTCAGGATTCATGACACCATTTTCTTCTATCTGTTTTTAAATCCTGAGTGCCCACTCTCCCACATTCTGCCTATTTGAATCCCATCTGTTCTTTAGTACACGTTTCTATAGCATCTTGGAGACTCTGGTCTGTGGAAACCTAGTTCTCAGAGTCCTGACATTTGACACAATTTCTAAGCCCTAATTTATCTCCACAGTTGCACACAGCACTCCCTTAGCTCTACAGTGCTGGGGCGGCACTGGTTTTTACCCAGGCTGTTACACTCAGGGACTCTATGAACACTGGCTCACTGTCTCCTTCAGATGGAGCAGTCTGGAGGTAGGCTGGATTAGTCAGGTGTCTTAATTGTTAGATTTAAATACTAGTCTAAGGTAACAAAGCATCAGAAACCAGCAGTGGAATTCAGCAGCAAGCACAGTAAATCCTTATTGCCCGTGGCTAAAATGAGACACACATATTATTTCAAAATAAGGGGGAAAAATCACAGCTATCACGAAAAGTTATGAGTCGATGAACCTGTCCTGCATATGGAGTTGGTACCCGAGTGACCGGAAAGACTTACTCAGCTTTAAGATCAGCAGTTCCTATGCCCTTGGTAGGCATTGTGCTGTAACTAACAGGGGGATAGCAAGGAGTCTAAAACAAAGATGTCTGCAATGCACATACTTAATCTGGAGTAAATTTATCCCCTGTAAGCGCCAAGGAACAGACATTTAGAACTGTGTGAGCTTCCCGTCAGTGGGCTATGGAAAAACAGAATGCCAAACTTTTCAGGTATTTAGAACCATGTAGTGGGAAACAAAGGCCACTTGTGTGAATTGAATCAATATCTCATCTTTACACACACACACACACACACACACAGAGAAGACAGGAGTGTTTTCATTTGCTGATAAGGTATAATGGCTCCTCATTAATTTCAGATGATAATGGAAATTGAAGGACAATTCTGCACTCTGATTCTGAAGTCACTAAGGCCCTTGACCTCCCTGATAAGCAGTTACCAGTGTGACGTGGGAGAACAGAGTAACTTTAAACTTGGAGCCAAGAGAGTAATTCTAGCTACTGTTATCAACAGTCAGGGGATATAGTGTAAAGAAGTTCTCTATTTTGTGGGCTTAAAAAGAAAAGTGGTTAAACACTTTGATTTTTCTTCCTAACCAGTGTTAAGTCCTAGGCCCAATACTATCAAGAGAATGGCATGCAGATTTTCCACATCTTCCCTGTTCTCTCTCTCTCTCTCTCTCTCTCTCTCTCTCTCTCTCTCTCTCTCTGTTTTTTCAAGACAGGTTTTATTGTAGCTTTGGAGCCTGTCCTGGAACTAGCTCTTGTAGCCCAGTCTGGCCTCAAACTCACAGAGATCCACCTGCCTCTGCCTCCCCAGTGCTGGGATGAAAGGCGTGCACCACCACCGTCAGGCCCCTGTTCTCTTACATGCATAACCCTGTACTTTCCATGCCTCGGGCTATGATTCCAGAGTGAAGAGCCCTGAACTCAGAGACAGAGAAAAGACAGTTACTGGATGGTACCAGTTGTGTAGGCAATAGCTTGGTTCCCCAGTGCTCCAAAACAGGGAGATTTTTGCCCTGGGAAATCTGTCTGGGCTGGCTGTAGACTCTGCATGGGGAGAATTGGTCTAGACAAAATTCCTGGCTTCTAGGGTGCTAACACTATTGCTTTGTCTTTAATAGCTCATTCTTGCTGTTTTGGAGTGAAAGGTTAGAGTGCTCATGGTGGGGAGGAGACACAGAAGGGGTTCTTCTCTGCTACCCCCCTTCTCAGAGTTCAGTGAGTCCCCCCTGAAGGAGAGGGTCTGGGCCATGGCATCAGCCCAAGAGGGGCCATATTGGAATCCAGACAAACCGGAGTCCAGACTGAGAGCCGCACTCACCTCGTGTGGAAAGTCAGCCAAGTTTCCACTGGTGAGTCTGGATTCTGTAGGCAATTTAGTGATTTCCTGTTGGCCACCCCCCGCTGCTGCCCCCCTCCCACCTGCAGGCAGTCACCCATCCATAAATCCTGTCCAGCCCTGGATTTTTGCCCAATGTTTCAGAGGGTTGGACTCACCAAGGAGAGCCGAATTCCCAGGATCCAGGACCAGCTGTGTTCCCACAGGAGACATCAGCACTGAAGGAAGGTTCGGTCCAGTGGCTAAGAGCAAGGCCCTGATGTCTTCCAACTGTGTGGGGACTTGTGGGGGATCTGGGAGAAGACAGATGGGGAATCAGGAGGTGAGAGCATGTGGGGTGTGTTAAAAGAGAGAGAGAATAGGCAAGTACCCCCATGTGCAAGATAGGCGTGGTTGCGATTGACTTCATTTTTCCTAAAGAGAGAAGGTATACACCTATGAAGGTGAGTCTGAATTTCAAAGTTAATATTTGATGCCTGGAATAACAAGGTCTGTAATAAGAACCAGGCCTGTGAATTCCAGAAGTTCTCATTTTCTACCACTCCCAAGCACGCCCCCACTGGCTCTTTCTAACAATATAGATAAATTGAAACATGATACAAAGACGATATTTTTTTAAAGGACAATTTTAGCATTTACTATATGCCAAGGTGTGAGATAAATAGTTTTCCACCAATTTTTCACTTAACTCATAAGATCCTTAGAAATGAGGCAATTTGTAACTGTCTCCACAGCTAGAATATTATCCAAGGGCTTATTTAAAAGGATGTGGATAAGTGTCTTTTTCAGTGTGAGGCAATCTAGTTGTGAACATTTGCTTTGGGGTGTAATTCTTATGCCCAAGTGGGACCCAGATAAAAAGGACAGGAAGACGTTATTGTGGGGTGTCATGCTTCTAAGGAATCAGGACTGAAGTCTTCAGTGGTAGGTTTGGACAGGCCCCTAGTGTGCTTGGCATTTTGTTAGTATGTATTCGGCATGCACATGAATGTTGATGGTGTCTACTTTAGGAGCCACCCTTTTATCTTTCTGCCTTTGATGAAGACCATCACAGAGAGAAGACAGTGGTGAAATGATTAAGAAACTTAGGGCACTCAACCATTTTCCGAGGGAAAACATGCTTACATTATAAACCCACAGTTTGAGCTGTTCCTGTGCCAATGATTAACTTAGGCTAGTCCTTAGCCTACTGGGCCTTAGCTGCCTCGTTATAAAGATCTCTTTGAGCAAACAGCCATCGTCAGTGTCTTTATTCCTCTCCTCCTCCTCCTCCTTTATGTCTTTATTAAAAGCAAAAAGGGAAGGCTAGTCTCATCTGAGAAACATTTTATTCTCTTTGGGCCAAATGTCAGTCCCTGCTTATGTTTCTGTAGCTTCTACAGCAATTCTTTGTGTGTATGTGCGTGCCTGTTTTACCTTCCCAGTGGAAACGTGAATTTTCCAGTGGCAGACATCTCCTCATTTCCCCCCTAAAACTCTACCAGTATCCTCTTAACTTGGGCTTAGAGGTAACACTCAACAAATATCTGTCAACTGCCCACATGAATGACTGAAAAAAAAAATGAATGCCCATATCATTCCATGTGGAACTTTTAGACTACAAGTTAAGCCACAGGACTTGATGTGAAACTTTAGTTTGATATACAATAGTTCCCCTTAAAAAACTAAACCATACAGTGAGACCAGGAGCAACCCCTAATGAATGATCTGGCTTTTTGGAGCCCATTTTCTATGAAGAGAAATTTTGCTTAACCTAGACATGAGGGGGAGGGCCTTGGTCCTTTCTCAACGTGGTGATATGACAGAATTCATTGACTCCCCATGGGAGGCCTTACCCTCTCCGAGGAACAGATGGGGGGTGGAAGGTTGAGGGGAAGTTGGGGGGAGTGGGAGGAGAGGGAGGGGAACTGAGATTAGCATAAAAAAACAAAAATAAAATAAAATAATATAAATATATATATACATATATATAACTAAGCCATACTTTCACTGATTAAAAAAAAGCAATATTTCCATGTTGACATTTGTTAACTGAACCAAGACTTCTTATAGAGATCTGAACAGTGATTGTTTTCTCTTGGGAGGTTTGAGTATGATGGGGAAGGTACCAGGCTCTTCAGCCGCATTCATGGCCATACTCTATTTGGGACGCAGTAAGAACTGGCTCAGAGAAAATTCTTCACTGCTGATGTCACAGTAGCACTCCCAGACTCCCATCTCGGTTAGCAGAGACAGCAAGGGCAGGCTATCAGGGAGGAAAACCCCACCAGTGAATACTGTCACTCAGCGCGACCCCAGAATCACAGCGCAGCTGATGGAGCCCAGTGGAAAACAATTGACATCCTCCTTTTCTCTGAGCCAATGTTCTGCGGCTTCCTATGAAGTCTGGAGGTTTCCACAGCGGGGCCCCTGAAATCTGAGTGGGCAGGGGCGAGGGTTCCTCATCAGCTGTGGGTGTGAAAATCGAAGTGTAAAGTTTATTTCCCCCAGAAAAGGGCCACAGTGGATGCTGACATGCACATGTGTGACACCTAATTATTATTTCTCATATTTTGCTTCCCGCTCTTAGAATGAGTTTTTTCTTGGTGAGAAAGTCAGCATATGGGCTCTAATCATTGCTCTATTTGTAAAGGCTAAGGCTCCATCTAGAAGCTTTTTTTCTATCTCACCTACCCATTTCTGAACCAGTGGAAAGGAAGTAGAGGTGCCTGGGCAATGGGGGATGGAGCTTGCAAGATGGCCACGCTGTCCTGGGGAAACATCATGGTGGATGGTGACCCAGGAACTGTTTGTTTATTTATTTATTATTTTCAAGACAGGGTTTCTCTGTGTAACAGCTCTGGCTGTCCTGGAACTCACTCTGTAGACCAGGCTGGCCTCAAACTCACAGAGATCCATTTGCCTCTGCCTCCTGAGTGCTGGAATTAGAGACATGGGCTACCACTTCCTGGCAAGACTGTTCCTATTTGTAAATGTTTATTTTACACAAGGATCTGTGATAGACTTTTTAATAAGGAGTTATTATGCATGGGACATGCATGTGAAGATTTTATGCAGACTTCAAACTAATAGGAGATGGATGGGAAATTTTTTACACATATGAATACTATTTTTTTCAAGACAAGGTTCCTTTGTGTTGGACCTCATTCTATAGACCAGGCTGTGCTCAAACTTGTAGAGATCTACCTGCCTCTGCCTCCTGAGTACTGGGATTAAAGGTATTAAACCATCACCACCTGACTATATACCAGAAATTTTTAATCCATGTTTTTCATTTGCTCTTCAAAGAAAAACCTAACATGGGCTTAGATGTCATTTTCTTTGTCAGCTCCATTTGATAAACCTCATTCCCCAGCAATGTGGGTAATCCTCAATTGTCAGATTTCTCATAGACCTCAGCATCTAAGATTTACCAAGGAGAGTAATTTGTTGGATTATTTAATGCCAGAATGATTAACCAATGAGGTGGAGCCACGTTTCACACTCAGCTCTTGCAGGCCCCACACTCTATGTTTTCTGTTCAAAGGGCTGATTATGGGAGGAGGGAATAAAAGGACATCGAGTCTATTTTATTTTCTTAATTCAGTAAGGGGGAGAAAGGAGGTGAAGGGTGGGCCAGCTGCTCCCCACAGTACTCCTGAGACTGGTTTTGGGATGTTTTTACCTAGAATCAGGAGTTGCGTCCCCTCCGTCTGTTCTCCGTGAAGATTGGCTGCCCTGCAGGAATATAGGCCCTGGTCAGAGAAGGCCACATTTGTGAGCAGCAAGGAGCCCTCATGCAGATGGTGGGAGGAGCCCAATTTGCTTTTATTTCTGAACCAAGTGACTTCAGCTTCAGGCACACCTATGGAGACAAAAATATGCTTATCAGACAAATGGCAGGTGAATCCAGGACGTTGAGAGCCTCTGGCCACCCCACCCAGCTCCGCAGGAAGCATCTGCCTGGGCGTCTTCTACTGTCCTTCAGCCAAACCAAACATCACACCTTGGGTTTCTTCTTGTCTCTAGAGCTTTGTAAGACTTCTAGAGATGAAGCAGGAAGCGGGAGGCCAGTTAAAGGAGGAGGAAATAGTAGCAGCTGGTAAATGACTCTTGCCAATGAAAAGAACATTCAGCTTCTCTGGAGAAAACATCCTAAAATAGAAAAACTAAATGTATATACCTCATGAAAATGAAAATTCTACCACTGAGACCAACCGTGCTCAGTAAGAAAAGCCAGATGTAGGAATATTACACTGTCTGATTTCATGTCTGTTAAAAAACTGGTGTCATTATACACTTGTGAAGAAGTCATATACATACAAGTAACATTGAATGGACTGAGAAGGCTATATTTTTATGTTTAGAAATATATATACACACATATGTATACACACACACATACGTGTGTGTGTGTGTGTGTGTATACAATAACAAATAAAGAAATGGGGACCATAAATGTGAGAGAGAGTGGCAGAGTGGTGGAAGATAAGTGGGGGAGGCACATGGGAAGGACTGGAGGGAGGAGAAGGAAGGGGGAGCTTATGTAACTATTTTAACTAAATCAAAACAGGAACCAAGTAGCATTGATAGAGGCTGTTTGTAGGCAGCAGGATGAGTGGTTCCTCTGAGGAGCGCAATGAGTACAGGGGGTGGTCACAGAGAGAGAATCAAAAGCTGCGTCTTTGGCAATGTTAGTTCTTGACCAGGAAATGGCTGGCTGTGGAGTGTTCACTGGCACTGTTTTGATGCATCCACTTTTCTATATAGATGCTATATTAAAAGTAAAGCCAAGATATAAAATATATATTTGACCCAGACAAATAAAAGCTTCTGGGTCCTGACTAGACTTGATGCTGCATAGGAAGCATGCTTTTATATATATATATATACACACACACACACACACACACACATAGCTGCCATGGTTTAGATTTAAGAAAAATGTTATGTGTATGCATGCCCATCTGCATATGGGTATATGCATGCCAGTGCAGGTGCCTATGGAAGGGGCGGGGCAGGGGCATCAAATTTGCTGGAGTAACAGGCAGTTGTGAGCTCCCTGATGTGGGTACTGAGAACCTAACTCATGTCCTCTGTGAGAACAGTATACAGTCTTAACCACTGAGCCATCTTTCCAGCTTCTAGCATTTGGATATTTAGTGTGCTCACAATTACCACATTTCCAGGGCATAGTTTTCTGGTTGGCACCACTGGAACATGGTAGCTCTTCTAAGAAGTGGGGCCTAGCAGATGGTCTGTCAGGGGCTATCTTTGAGGAGTAGCATAGAACCCTAGGTCCTTCTTTATTCCTTTGCTTCCTGACTCCAAAGTGTTTCATTTTACTCTTCTATTCACCTATCCTGTGATCTATTGTGTAACTACAGATTCAGCTTCAAAGCAGCAAGCCAACTGACAGAAACTGAAGCTGCCAGAACCTCAAGTCAACAACCACTCTTTCCTTATGAACTGGCATCATGGGTGTGTTGTCTTAATGTCAGAAAGATGACCAAGACAATGGGTATCTTCTCAAAAAAAAAAAAAAACGAGAACACAAAACGGTGACATCAGGAGTAGGGTAGAAAATGGGCCAAAGGAGACGACTTTGCTCTTCCACTTATATTCTTGCCTGCAAGAGTCAGGGAGATTATGTATGGGATGCGTGCCTATCCTTGGAAGTCAGTTTCTGTACTCTAGATATAATCTGGGCTCCTTGGGAAGTTTCCTTGAAGTTGGTATTCAGGTAAGCAGTCTATAGTCTGTGACAAGAGTTTCCAGATGGCCTTCTGAAGAGGCTCCTCAAGAGGAGACTAAAATTTGGGGCACTGACTCCCAGGCTTCCAGGCAACAGAAACTTCATCTCTTATACCATCCAGCCTGCTGCCAAGTCCAGTTTGCTCATAGAATTCTGCAGCAAGCATGCAAGTAATGTTTAGAATGTCAAATACTGGAAAATGGGGTCAATGCCAAGAAAAGCCAAAGACCTAGACTCTTAGTCTAATGATTTCCCAGAGCAGGGTTGTATTTTGTCCTTGGGACAAGGCAGTGTTGTCCTGAATAGACAGTTTACGACTAGGGACCCTAACTTCTCCAAGGAGCTGTGTGCACTTACTATTGGTCTTAACATTGCTCAGGAAGAGTAGGGTTAATGGGAGGAGATGCAGACTTGGATTCTGAAGCCTTGTCATCCCAGGGAGAGACATACACTGATTCAGCTCCAACTATACTTGAGCACACCAGAAAGAGGTTGACAGCATCTCTAGACATACCTTGAGAACAGATACAGGTGAGAGGCAGAAGAGCCGAGTTTTCATTGTAGCACCACTAGGGAGAGCAAGCGCATCGTGATGTTTGCCCATGCCAGCCAGGCCTTTGAACCCTGAGCTCAAATTTTTACATTAAAAAAATGTATTGGAAAGTCTCTGAAAGTGGTTGAAGAAAAAAATTTCTAGTTATCTCTCTCTCTCAAAAACATAGAGAAAATGAGGTCTTATAAATCGTTTCTATGAGGGTTCTCTCTCCCGCACTGAATCACTTCCCTATAGCACTTGGTGGGGACATCTTCCTTTCGGTCCCCAATGGGAGTAAAAGGCTGTTCTGGAGAAAGATAAGCAGAATAGGGAAATCAGATGTCACAAGCCTTTTGTTTGATGCAGAGGGGGTGTTGCCTAGGTGAACAGAGTAGCAAGCAACCCCCACCCCCACAATTGCCTTGATGACACCTGTGCTCCTAAAGGGCACAGTGACAGTCACATATGTACATATACAGACATTGCTGTGGCATGACGGTCTCAGTCAAGCGATGCAGAGGAGAGGGCAGAAGTGTGGCAGAGGGTGAAGGGAAAAGAAGGGAAGGCAAAGAAGCCTGGTTGGGAGGGCTCAAGGAGCTACTTCTTACTTCTCCAGGAACTGATTCAAAAAATTTCCTGTTTCCTGTATTAGTCCTTGCCTCATGACCCATGGAGTCAGGCTCCTCTGTGAGGGCAATGCTCGGGAAGGGACGATTTCTCTGGTGAGACCAGGGCTTCATGGGAGAAATGGAAATTTTTAGGATAGCGACAGGGGGATGTTCACCTCCAGTCCCTACAATATTCCCAAGAAGAGGATGCTATGGAAACCCTTCTCTGGTCTGTTAGTAGCAACCTTCCTCAGGCTCACTCTCAAAGAGACCTGAACTGTGAGTTTGTCAGTGGATTACCGCTGCCACCACAGTTTGGGAATTTCTCCTTTGGGACTAGGAACCTTAGGGCAGAGAATGACTCTCTAAAGATATCTGGAATGACAACCAGCCCTACTATGAGTAGTTTTGACATGATGGACAAAGAATACAGAAAGGAGAAAAACAAGCAAGGTCCTAGAGAGATAGCACTCCCCCATTAGCCATTTAGAAATGCCAACAAATACCTTGGAAAGGTACCAGACACACTAGCCTAAACCCAGTGTTTAGAATACCCTGACACTGAGCACGTAATGAGATGTGCAAAAATAGTTCCCTGGCATCACTAAAGATAATAGTAATTAAGCATTTACTATAAGCCAAACACTGTAGAGATGCAAACACTTATTTTTCATAATCTCAAAAGGGCAGGTACTGTTATCAATTTCAGTACATAGAGGAGAAAAGTGGGTCTCAACGAGACTAAGAAATCTGAGGCGACTGCTCTACGACTTAAACGCTTGCACAGTTTAAAAACTGGAGTTGGGATCCCCAACACCTGTGTAAATGACAGGGTGGGTGTGGCAGCCTGCCTGTAATCCCAGAGCTTAGCAAGTGGAGATGGGATCTTCGGAGTAAGCAAACTAGCTGAACTAGTCAAGTGTTCGGGCTCCAGGTTTAGGGAGAGGCCCTACCTCAATATACATAGCAAAGAGTGATTGAGAAATCTACCCAGAATCAGCCTCTGGCTTCCTAAGACATAGCCACACATGTGTACATGCATCTACACACAAGGACATATCATATAAACATACACATAAAAAAGAACTCTCCCTATCGTCACGTTAGTTTGGGTCCTTGATGACTCAGGAGCAGAATACCTGGTCCCTGCAGTTTCCTGTCCCTGGGTCAGTCAGCAACCAACCAATCTCAGGGTGGAGATCGAAGTGGAGACACCTTCAGTGTCAGGAATCCCTTCCTCAGCAAGTACACATCAGAGCCTGCTGTCACACCAGACTGCCTCTCTTAGGACATTTGAAATGCCTTGCTATGATTTCTATACCTCTTGCCTTTTAAATATAATCATACCGTATTTTTTTTTTTTTGGTGGCCATTGCAGCACCAGAACTGATGTGAGGAGGGGCCTTCTAGAAGCTACAGGGGTTGGCTGTATTAGTTGTCTGTTGCTGGAAGGTTCAGCCATGTTGTGGAAACTTTCTCCCCCTCCATCTGCTATCACCTAGAGACTCGGCTGAGAAATGGCAGAAAACACACTCGGCAACAAAGTTCAGCCCGGGGCTTTACTGCTGTTGATCAATCGCTGTGCAGGCTCCACACCGGATTCCTGGGTATTATTTGTGTCTGCAAAGGGGACTCAAACTAACCTGTGTCTGCTTTATCCCCTTGTGGCATTTCTTAACAGCAACACAGTGTTCTCCCTGTTGCTGTGAAGGATCAATAAATGGGTCTAGTCAGAATGGCTGGTAATGGGATCCGATTATAAGGATTAGTGCCTTTAATCTGCCCCGAGCTGCCAGGAAGCATGATGCTATAATATCCCTTTCTTCTTTAATATCCCAGACAGGATATTCTTGCTAACTGGACCATTTGTTATACTTGGAGGGCGGCTTTCACCATGGCAGCTTGTCAGCACCTTAAGGTGGGGCATCTAACGGTGTACTTTTACATGATCTATTCTGGAAGTTTCT